ATTTCAGTAATACATATACAACATGCAACACTATGCAGCCATATAAAAGACTAAAATCATGTCCTTGGCAGGAACATGGATGCAAATGGAGGCCATTATCCTAAACAAACTAATGCAGAAACAGAAAACCAAATACTGCATGTTCTCACTTATAAGGACAAGCTAAACACTGGGTACCCACAGACATAAAGATGGGAAAAATAGACACTAGGGACTACTGAAGGGGGAAGGAAAGAAGAGGGTAAGGATTGAAAAACTACCTATTGGGTACCATGCTCACTATCTGGGTGACAATATCATTTGTACCTCAAACCTCAGCATCGTGCGATGTACCTTTGTAACAAACCTGCACATGTACTCCTTGAATCTAAAATAAAAGTTGAGATTTTTTTAAAAAAATAGAATTTTAGGTTCTTCAGCAACGCAGATGGTTAAAAAGCAAGAGAAAATAGAGAGTGGCTAGTTTGCTAAATCACTTTACATTGGCCTTCTTTACATGTCAAAAGACAAACTGAGGGCCTCTTCTGAATACAATTAGATTGAAAGCAAAAGGACAGAAAATAATATATCCTGCAAGTAGCAACCAAAAGAAAGGTGATGTGGTTGTACTACTATCAAACAAAGAAGAACTTAAAACATAAAAGTCTTACCAGAGATGAGGGATACTTTATAATGATGAAAGAGTCAATCCATGAGGAAGATAAAGCAATTGTAACATAATTGAACCTAATAACAGAGCACTGAAATATATGAAGCAAAATCCAGCAGAAATTGAGGGAAAAAAATAGATATTTTAACAATAACAATTGGAGTCTTTAATATCCCACTTTCAATATTAATTTTAAAAACAGGTAGCATAATAAATAAATAAAAATCAGAACAACAATATAAACCAACTTGACCTAGCAGATATCTATAAACACTATTCCTAAAAATATTAGAATATAATTTTTTCCCAAGTACATATGGAATATTCACCAAAATAGACAATCTGCTAGACCATAAAACAAACCTTGATAAATTTAAACAGAAAGCTGGGCATGGTGGTACGTTCCTATAAGCCCAGCTACTTGGGAGGTTGAGGTGGGAGAATTGCTTCAGTCCAGGAGTTCAAATCCAGCCTAGGCAACATAGTAAGAGCCTACTTTTAAAAATAAAATAACATAAAATTAAAACATAATTCAAAAAGATGAAATTCATACAAAGTATGTTCTCTAATCACAATGGAATGAAATTAGAACTCAATAACAATGAAATTTAAGAAATTTTACAAATATGTGGAAATTAAACAACCAAAATAATCACTGAGTTAAAGAATAAAAGAAAAAGAAAACTAAAAAATACTTGGAGAAATGTTAAAATGAAGATACAACATACCAAAATGTATGGAATGCTGCTACAGTAATGCATAGAAGGACATGTATAGACAGGAATACGCCTATAGTATAGGAGGAAAAGATATGAACATAACAAGTTAACCTTGCACCTTAAGACACTGGAAAAATAAGAGTATACTAAACCTAAAGGAAGGAGAAGGAAGGAAATTTTAAAGACTGGAAGGAAAATTGATGAAACTGAGTATAGAAAAATAATAGAGAAAAATCAGTGACACCAAAAGCTGGTTCTTTGAAAGAATCAACAAAATTGACAGACCTGTAATTAGATTTATTGAGAAAAAAAGAGAGAAAGATTCAAATTACTACAAGCAGGAATGAAATAGGGGACACCACTGCAAACCTTATTAAGGAATACTATGACTGTTATACACCAATAATTAGATAACTTAGATGAGATTGGCAAATTCCTAAAAAGACACAAACTACAAAAAGAACTCAAGAAGAAAAATAAAATCCAAATAGATTTATAACAAGTAAAAAGATCAAATCAGTCAAAACACTGCCCACAAAGAAAAGACTTGGCCCAGATGGCATAATGCTAAATTCTATCAAACATTTCAAAAAGAATTACTCCAGATTCATCTGAAACACTTTCAAAAAAAAAATAGAAGAAGATGGAACACTTTCCACCTCATTGTATGAGCCTAGTATCATAGCCCGTTATTATGGTTACCCTGACACCAAAGCCAGAAAAATATATAACAAGAAAAGATGACTACAAACCAACATATCTCTGGAAAATGGATGAAAAAATCTTCAGCAAACTGAATCCAGAATCATAAAATATACATACATAAAAATTATGACCAAGTGAGATTTATTCCAAGAACACAAGGTTGGTTTAATATCTAAAATTGAATCACTATAATATACCAGATAGCATAGAAGTTAAAATCCACATGTTCATCTTAATAGATACAGAAAAAGCATTTTAAAAAAATTCAACACCTCTTCACAATAAAAACACTCAACTAACTAGGAATAGAAGGAAGTTTCCTCAACTTGATAAAGGATATATACAAAACGCCCACAACTTACGTTTCATGTGATGAAGAAAGACTGGGTGCTTTCCTGTAAAATCAGGAACAAGACAAGGATATCTACTCTCATCATATCAATTCCACATTGTACTTTAGAATAGCTAATTCTACCCAGGGGGGTTAGCCAAGATAAATAAATAAAAGATATCCAGATTGGAAAGGAATAAGTAATACTATCTCCATATAGAAAACTCTAAGGAATCAACTTAAAAAACTACAGTATAGTATTCCCTCAATATCCACAGGGGATTATTTCTAGGACCCATAGAATGGGAGAAAACAATTGCAAATCACATATCCAATAAGAGAATTATATCTGGAATATGCAAATAACTTACACAACTCAATAAGAAAAAGGTCAACTACCATTTTTTTAAATGGCAAAGGATCTGAGTAAGTATTTCTCTGAAGAGGATAAGCTAAATGTCTAATAAGGACACTAAAATGCTTGATACCATTAGCCATTAGGAAAATGACGATCAAACTACAATGAAATACCACTTTACAACCATGAGGATGGGTAGAATTCAAATGTCAGTTAATAAAAAGTATTGATGGTAACATGAAGAAATTAGAAACTTCATACACTGTTGCAGAAACACAAAACAGCACAGCCACTTTGGAAAACATCCTGGCTATTCCTTAAGCAGTTAATCATAGAATTACCCTATGACCCGGTATTTCCACTCCTAGGCATATATCTCAGAGAAATGAAAACATACATCCAAACGAAACTTGTACCTCGGTGTTTATAGCAGCATTATTTATAATGGCAAAAATGTGGAAACAACCCAAATGTTCATCTTCTAATTCATCAACTAATGAATGTACATACCAAATGTAGTATATCCACATAATGGAACAATATTCTATCTTAAAAAGAAATGAAGTACTGCTACATGCTACAAGATGAATGAACGTTGAAAACGTTGTGCTAGGTGAAGTAGGCAATTCACAAAAGACAACCTATTATATGATTCAGTTTGTATAAAATATCCAGAATAGGCAAATGCAATGAGACAGAAAGTAGATTAGTAATTCCTTATAGCTGGGGAGGAAGGGAGGGTGATAGAAGGTATGGGGCATGATAACCAAGGGTACAGTATTTCTTCTTGAATTGATAAAAATGTTCTAAAATTGACTGTGGTCATGGTTGCATATACCTGTAAATATACTCTGAATATACACATATCTGTGAAAATGAAAAACCATAGAGTCACACACTTTAAGTGAGTGATTTGTATGGTATATGAACATCTTAATAAAGCTATTTGAAAAAAGAAGTCTCAATAAATGTATTTTCCATTCACCTCGTCTTCTAGTTTTACTCTATTAAACATAAAGAACTTATAAATGTTACCAATGTTATGAACTTAAAACCTGGTAATGGGTAATACTTGTCTTCAGTAGAGAGATTACAAAGCTATTATATAGGGGCAGAAAGGGGTTATGTGCTGTATAGTAAACATGAAATCATTTTCCTTTATAAACATCGGTCATTTTTTTCCTGGAAATATTTATCTAACTGTAATGAATAGAAATATGTTTTTACAAGTATTTTTTAAAGTTATTGATAAAGATTTAGTAAATCTGTAAGCAAACTGAAGAAGCACCAGAAAAAATATCATTGCAGAAAATAATACATTTGATTTTAGCATTTTATTTTTAAGTTTTGCATGGGATAGTGTTTGTATTACCCTTTTCCAAAGCAAACTTACATCGGCAAAACGGGTTAAGATTAAAAAAAGATAAGACAAAACTATACCCCTGACTGTTACAAACGTACGTAATGTTTTTTTCAAACTGCAGATAGCTGAACACAGATCAGACTTATTTCTGAAAAACGTAAGGAAACTTGTAATATAAGAACAAGTCACCTTCGTTAATATTCCTATCTGTACGAACACAAAAAGCAAGCAGGAAGGGCTAATGAAAGTTTGGTTTAACTTCACTTATTTTAAACTAAGTGTTCTTGGTCACGGATTAAAGAAGTGGGAGGGAAGTATTCGCTCCACAGAGATATCTTCTGCAGTGGCAAAACTGATTCTAACCTATATACAAAAACCATAATACAGTGTAATACGGATATACCAAACTTAATTTGGTGATGTATTGTAGGGTTAAAATGTTCACCAATGAATTATTTCCGAGGGTCGGGTTGGAGGTGGAATTCGTGCAGTTTGGAATTCAACTCTGTTTTGAGAATTCAGGTCCACTTGCGGCTAGGATACCTGGCAGATCCGGCCAAAGTTTCTTACAGTAAATTAAAAATCAAAGAGCAGGATATCAGCAGGAAGCAACCAAAAACAGAACCGAGGGTCGTAGAGTAAGAGGAGGCAACAACTGCATGTGCGCAAAAGAAAACTGAAGAGTAATAGGCTAGAAATTGACCACTTCAAGGACAGCGGAGGGACAGAGCGGAGGCGGGTGAGGAACAAACATCGCATGCGGTCTTAAAACGCACAGGGACGCTCCCCATGTCAGCGAAGAAGTCTGGCCCAGTCCTTCCACCGCCCAGGCGGCGCCCCTGCGCGCCCACCGCCGCGAGCCCTACCTCGCCGACCTTCCCCCGGGGCCAGGAGCATCAGCGCGGTCGCCAGCACCCAGGCTCCGCCAGGCATCGCTGCTTCCGCGGGTGGGGCGACGGGCGTCGCAGAGCCCGGGCCGCGGGTGACGGGAGGATGGGGCCACCGCAGCCCCTCGGGCTTCCTTTCTTGGATTTTCTCAGTCTGTTCCTGCTTGGAACAGGGAAGCTCCGCGTCCTGGTTCTGGGGCGCAGCCAGTCCTTTCGTGGGTAGAGCCTTCGCGCAGTCCCTCTGCGACTCCTCCCTTCCCATTTTGGCGGCCGGCGGACCTGAAAGCCACGCCCAACCTGTCCCCGTAGCCCAGCGTGTCCTGGCAGTGGCTCCGCCGCCTTGGATGTCACCGTGCAGTCGCACAGCCAGGAGCCAAGCTACCAGGATGTAGCTCTCGGCGTGCTGCGTCTTGCTGTTCTAACAGAGACTGTATGAAAACCTGGTAATCCTAGAAACTGCTCAGATGGACCTCCCATAAAAGAAACTTCACAAGGTTCCGTTGGAAGAGGCAGTTTCCCATGATTGTATCTTCAGACAGATTCCTAACTGCGTAATTGGCGCTGCTGGTTTGCACCCGAAGGCGAAGGCGCTGAAGATGCTCCTGTCACCTTAGATCTCAGTGATGAACGACACTAGGAGGGAGTAGACACTAACGTTGCAACAGTAGATGCCCTTTCTTCTGCCTCTGTGACAGGTTTTCAGAAGTAGAAAGGACTGCGTTTAGACACTAGCCAAACCGTGAGGTTTGTCACCCGTATTTGCCAGTGATTCCCAGAGTTCTTACAGTTGTCCAGTGATGACCCAGGACCCTTTAGCACGTGGTCACACGGCTCCCAAGATTGACCTGGGAGTTATTAGATCAGAGGACGCCAATGTCTTCCCCCAACCCTCGTTTTTATCTTTTGTTTTGTTTTGTTTTGTTGGAGACAGGATCTCACTCTGTCACCCAGGCTGGAGTGCAGTCGCACAATCACAGCTCGCTGGAGCTTTAAACTCCTGGCGTCAAGCAATCTTCCCCCTCAGGCTCCCAAAATGCTGGGATTACAGGCGTGAGCCACCCTGCCAGGTCTAAGGTTGTCAGAAGTGTTGTTGCCTCTGCAGAGGAACAGGGTCCTTTTTTCAACAGATTCTACATCTTTTTATGTCTGGAAATGAAACCTCACTCTCCTAGTTTTTCCCTGACTGTCTCATTCCTTGAGTCTCCCATCCATCACCTTGCACTTGGTTCTCACAGAGCCTTTACCTGAGAGGAAAGGGGACACTGGTCAGAAGAGGGTAGTTTGGCGGTCCAAGTGGGCACCAAGTTTCCATCCACAAATTTGGAGGCTCAAGGTTGGCCTAGGCATGGTGGTGGAAACAGGAGGTGTCCGAATGCATAAAGAAGTTATTTTTTTAATTATATATAATTTTTTATTTTTAATTTGAAAGGTAAATTAACATTTAAAATTTTAAAACTTATCATCTCCAGAGTAAAAATATTAACCATATTGGAAAATAATTTCTTTTTGGTACACAACACTTGTGTATAGCCCTCTTTCAAATGCAGAAAGGGCACCCAATTTTCTGGATTAAAAATAAAATATTACTTTTTGGTGGAGGGTAGGCAGGTGATTTTTATCTTAAGGCCTAAATATGGAAGGGCAATATAATGTAGGCACAATGAAAACCCAGAGATTTGTTAGTGTACAGTATGTCTTTTGTTTCCGCTTATAAAATTCTAATAAAACAGAGATAAGAAATTAAATGTCAGTTTTCTCAATCTATATGTGAAATCACCAGGAACAAAGTAATTTGATAGGAATCAAATCATAGCAGGTCTTCTGTGAATTTATTTTCTAGCAGTATCTATATAAATGTAGTAAACTTTTATACTTTCTTGGAGGACAACATTACTTATCTGACTTCCATCAAAATGCAATTTCAGGTATTGTGTTTCTTATTTTTTTCTTCAGTTTTTGATTGTTTATGAGTTTATGAGTTTACAATAGACTTGGACCAAAACACAACTTCCCTCCATGAGAGTTAAGATGGAAAAAAATAAAAGCAACTTAAGAATTTTTTTCAAGTCTCAGTAGAAAATGTATCTAACCTGGCCTGGATCTGCAGGAATGTACTGATTAAATGTTAGTTATATCATGCCCGTAATCCCAGCACTTTGGGAGGCCGAGGTGGGTGGATCACCTGAGGTCAGGAGTTCAAGACCAGCCTGGCCAACATGGAGAAACCCTATCTGTACTAAAAATACAAAAAATTAGACAGGCATGGTGGCATTTGCCTGTAGTCCCATCTACTTGGGAGACTGAGGCAGGAAAATCGTTTGAGCCCAGGAGGTGGAGGTTGCAGTGAGCCAAAATAGCTCCTCTACTCTAGCCTGGGCGACAGAGCAAGACTCCATCTCAAAAAGAAAAAAAAAATTAGTTATAGAACTGTATGAAAAATAAAAAGTAATAAAAATGATGTTTTAATCTATGTCTCATGAAGTTAATCAAAAATTGGTATAAGATTCTTTTTTATATTTTTATATTTTTTAAAATTAAAAACAATGGATACATGGTACCCCAATTATAGAGACTGACAGCACTTGTAAAATGCAGTAAATATCACTGAGACAAATAATAAGAATGTCAGAGGGAAGATGAAATGAAGCCAAGTGCTAATAAGTACAATATAGCTTAAATTAAAAGAAAAGATTAACAGGAGAAAAATTTCAAATGATAATTTTCTAGGGAAAGGAAATAACTCAGTTCTTGTCAGGTTAATTTACAAAATGATGGGCTTCAGTGAAAAAAAAAAAAAAAAATTCAGGGGGCAGAAAAGCCCAGTGATTAAGTTCACAAATCCTAAGTTAAAAATACCTGGGCTGTAATTCTAGATCCGCTACCTATTTAACAGAAGTGTAGGCTTGAACAGCACACTCAACTCCTCTTAACCTCATTTTTTCCTGTCCTATATAAATGACAATAATAGTACCCGATAGAGTTGAAGAATCAAAAGTGTGTGTGCATGCCTTTGTCTGGGTGTGAGGGTGGAAGAGGGTCTGGAGAAAGAGCACTCAGAATAGTGTTTGATCCACAGTAGCTATTATGATTGAATGTAACAGTTTACTGTTATTAGAACAGGGGTAAAATTCTACATAATTATACTTTTTCATATCTTATAATGTAAAGGTGCATCATTTCTCGGCACTACTCTATTACAGTGTCTGCATAGTTTGGAGTAAACTTCCTGGAAAATACAAATTTATGTAACATATGAATTCCTCATTCCATGTTTTACTAAATGAGTGAGCCCGTTTCCAGAAATGTAAAATTGGTAGGATTGCTTCTGGGGTTTGCTTGAGCTGAACACAAGTACACTCAGAAGCAGAGACTAAAACATACAGCAGGTCCTTGGTCATTATGTTTAACGTCACTTTGTTACAACATTGATGGAAAAAATCAATTTCTAGCAGGGGCCAATGTCGAGGTGGAATTGGCACGTTCTTTCCATGTCTGTGTGGGTCTTTTCTGGGTACTCCCATTTGCCTCCACTTCTCAATGCTGTCTGTATTGGGTGAACTGGCGTGTCGTGTCTACATAGGCCGTGTCTGAGTGATTGCGGTTGGGTGTGTGAGTGCGCCCTGTAGTGGGATGGCTTCCTGTAGAGAGCTGATTTACACCTCATGCCCTGAGCTGCTGGGATAGGATCTGGCCACTTGTGATGCTGAACTGGAGTAAGGAGGTAAATAATTATCTTGTTTTCATTAATCTTGATTCAATATATGTACAGTTTATTTCAAGGTTTAATATTAGAAGTATTTTGGTCTTTTTTTAGAAGTTGGCGATGTTTTTGTAACCAGAAATATGGTATGGTAATTTAACTCATGTTGATATCAATTCGTCTGTAGTAAAACTGGTTTCATTGTATGTTGTTTCACTTTACATCGCAGTTTGCAATAACCTGTGGACAACGTTGAGGACTCAACTGTATGTGGCTGTAAATGTGGACAATAATGAAAACTAATCAGCTGAGGGAGGAAAAAGATGAAAGTGGATGACCAAAACGAAGGTGAGGTGAGAAACATGTGAAAATAATAGAGAAACAGAGAAAAGCACCCATACACACGCACACACACACACAAAGAGACAGAGACAGAGACAGACAGAGAGACAGAAAGAGAGATACGTTGATTCCTGATGACTTTCCATTCAACAGCTCCAGAATCTTTTGAGGACTGCCTATGTTTCCTGTCTTGGAGTTCCCTGAAATACTCCCAATAGACTGCCTATAAATTAAGGTTAAGTGACTTTGAATTTGTTTTGCTGTTGTTGTTTACAACCAAAAAATATTGTCTAAAACTGTTTGAAAATATAAACTGTATAAATTATTAAATATTTGGTTGTGCTTATGCATTTGCCAGAAGAAATAGAAAAATGCACTTGAGATTTGCATTGAAACATTACAGTGGTTTGTTTAGGAGGAAATGGACTCGTCATTTGACCATGATAGAAGCTATCCAATCAAAAAGTTTCAGGGAAGAGTATGGTGTGTTCATTGCAGAATGAAAGAAAATCAGCAGTTAAGCTGATTTTGTTATGATAAGCTCAATACGTTTCACAAGAAGATGATTCAGTGCTAGAAAGTCTGGAATACCATTGGCTTTTCTTTCCAAGTAGCCATGACTACCTATAAATGATTAATAATTTCATTGTAGATAGTTATAGAGATTGTAACTGGAAATAGCTACAAAAATACAAAGATTCAGTGGTACTGAAGCCCAGTAATATTTGCCAAATGTGCCCCATCTCTAATTCTCATTCATAGGCTGAACTTCCTCTCTTATAGCTTCTTTCCTTTTTCTGCATTTAAAATTTCCTTCTTTTTAAAAGTGTTGAAAATGAATAAGAAAAAGCTGAATAGGAATGAAGAGCGAACCAATTTTGTTTCATTAAACATAGTAATAAAGAAAAACAGTTGATAGTTGAAAAGAGGATGCCCTAAAATCTGCATTATAGAAATGTTTTACCTGAAAAATGATCTGCTTCATACAGATCAAGAATTAGGGGAAAACATGTAATTTTTAAAGGAAAGGAATTAAAGCAAATCACTTATTTAGTTGTCCCTAGAAAGCCCCTTTAAACCTGGTTCCTCTTTTAGTCTTCCCTGTTTGGGAAGATGGCACTATTGAGTATCCCTCATCACCAGCTAGGAAAAAGGCATGAGGCTCCTCCCTTCTCTCTCATTCATGACTCCTCTTTTGTATTCAATCCATGAATAAGGAGTCCAAAGAAATCTCACACTCACCTGTTGCTCTGTGTTTTCTCTGCTACTCTGCTGGTCAAGCCTCCTCCATAACTCACGTGGATCACTGCAGAAAATACCGTATTTTTTCTCTGAACTTCACTCAGGCCCCATCCAATCTACATCTCTGCCATATAATACCGGGATAAGCTTTCAAGTTGTAAATAACACCATGTCCCTTCCCTAAAACCTTTCACTGGCCTCCCAAAGATAATGGGTAAAAATACCAGAAGACTGTGCGACAGCTAGCCCCTGCCTACCTGTTCAA